AACAGTCCTTCTTTGCAGTCCTTAAAGGTATCAAGGAGCCAGCTGATGCAAACAACAAGACCCAGATTCAAGCCAGCTTAAACAAGATTTAGTACCCACATGACAGGAAGTTCAGCTCAGGCAGGCCCTAGGGTTGGTTATCTGAGCATTCATTGTGGAGCCAGGGCCTATCCATCTCTGCTCACCTGGCCCAGCATCAGCAAGGGCCTTGCAGGGTCCGCTCTGCTCACATGCTGCTGAAGTGCTCCGCGCCTCTCTGCACCTCCTTCGTGGCTGGTCAGAGCTGAGTGCCTTCCTGCAGCTTTCCCCCTAAGCAAGACGTTTTCCCAAACACCCTCTGCCACTTGACTTCCCCATTCTTGAACCTATCACTGATGGGGAGGTGGGAGGGCCCCCCGCAGATCAGTCAGACCCAGGCTGGGTACACAGCCAGTTTGGGAAGCTGTGGATACCTGAACAAAGTGTGGTTCCATCACTGAAGACATAAGTGTAAGCAGGGTCATCCTGGCAGCTATGCCAGAAAGATTTCAGCAGGGTCAGCCCAGAAGCAGGAGCCCTGGCAGGAGAGGGCTGGAAATGCGCCGGGAGGAGGGCTGTCGTCCTGGGGAAGCCATGTTTCCTCAGCACAGCCCGACCGGGTCTGTCTTCCAGCTGCACTCACCCATTCTTGCCGCGCACAAGCCCGCTACACTGGCCTCCAGCCCCATAAGCCTTCCTTAGGCTCCTGCCTTTATGCTGCCATCCTGCCTGGAATACTCTAGTCCACCTGCTCTTCTCCCCTTCCTGGTCACCTCCTTCTCAGCCTTTAGATCTCAGCTCCACCGCCACCTCCCCAGAAGGTCTCCTTACTGTCATTAATCACCAGCCCCCTACGCTTTTCCCTAGCACACAATTGGAATAGATTGTGTAAATAATTGTGTTAGTAATTAGTTCTGCAGTTTCTCATTAATATCAGATTGTAAAATCCACAAGAGCAGGGACCTCCTCTGTCTTGGTCACCGCTGTGTCCCCAGTGCTGAGAATGGCGGTGGTTCACATAATAGGTGCTCAGTAAGTCCGGGGTGGCAGAACAGACACACATCTAGTTAGATGTGACTAGAGCAGTGATGGCGAACCTTTTGAGCTCAGCATGTCAAAATTTTGAAAAACCCTAACTTAACTCTGGTGCCGTGTCACATATAGAAATATTCATAATTTTTTTTTGATATTTGCAACCATAGTAAAAAAAGATTTATATTTTTGATATTTATTTTATATATTTAAATGCCATTTAACAAAGAAAAATCAACCAAAAAATATGTATAAAATGAACAAAAACAGAAAAACAATGTACATTTAGGAAAAAAATAATAAAAACAATGATCATCAAATGGTATGAAAACTAGAAATTAGTGACTTTTTTGGTGCTGAAGTTTGTCTGCTAATTCTTCGATGGAGGTTTATACTTGGTGCACTTCAAGGCCAAGCAAGCGCCACTAACTTCATCTGTTAGCCGGTTTCTTTTGTTCGTTTTAATATTATTTAATGCTGAGAACAAAGTCTCACAAAAATATGTTGATGAAAAAATTGTTAGCAAAGCCATCGCTAGATTTTTTATGTCGCTAAAAGTGTCAGGTACTCTGTTCCAAGCACTCAAATTTCTTGTTCGTAGTTGCACTCTTCTTCATTATTCAAACGATTTCATTCCAGATTTTCAAGTTTCGACCTTTTTCGACCTTAAGTCGACAAACACATGAGTCCAAATGCTACCTTGAAAATCTGCAAGTTGCATATCTACATCATCAATTTGCATCCATTGGAAATGCTTTAATTCCAAAGTACTGTAAACAACTACATCCGGATACTTAATTATTTTAATGGTATGTTCTAGGCTTCTAAATTGGTCAAATCTTTCGCTGAACTGTTCAAATAACGAGTTTACTATATTCTGGTACATAAGTACGGACTCCATTACACTTGTTGTAGTGGCCTTCTCAAAATACTTTTTTATCTGAGGAAAATACTTATAAGTTTTAGTTTCAATATCTCGCTTGAAAATTTTAAGTTTACTTTCAAAAGATTTGATGTATCCAAATATAACATCAATACTTTTGCCAAAACCTTGTAATTTTAAGTTCATTTCATTCATATGAACAGAGTGATCTGTAAAAAACATCAAATTGCTGACCCACTTATGATCATTGATCTGAGGAACGTTTGCCAGATCCTTCTTCTCAATAAATACCGTAATTTCTTCAAAGCACTCCGCAAATCACTCAAGTACTTTACCTCGACTCAGCCATCTCACATTATTGAACATCAGAAGTCCACTGGAGGTTGAATCAACTTCCTGTAAAAGTGCAGAAAATTCTCGCTTGTGAAGGGGTCGAGAAGCTATAAAATTCACAATTTTTGTTACAACTGACATGAAATCATTCAATCCTGAGAATCCCGATTTGGCACACAACACCTCCTGATGGGTAATGCAATGAAAAGGTACAAGTGGATGTCTAATAGCTTCCATAAACAACTTCAGGAATCCCACATTTTTTCCCACCATATTTGGTGCCCCATCTGTCGTGACTGACACAATTTTAGAGATATCAATGTTTAGGTCACTGAATGTTTTTATAACAACCTTACATATTTCGTTTTCTGATGTACTTATTGGCACTGATTCTAACTTTATCAACTCTTCTCTCCTTGTGAGACCATCAGAATATCTAGCAATAATGGCCAACCGAGCATTTGATGTGACATCAGTAGTTTCATCAAGAGAAATCGAAAAATATTTACAACTATTTAAGTCTTTTTTAAATTGATGTTGTACGTTTTTGTTAAGATCTATTATTCTGTCTTTGATAGTATTTCTACTGAGTGGTAACTCAGAAATTCTTTTAATAATATCATCTTTATTTTTCATATTGTGAAATAGAGCTGGTGCACATCTTAGAAATGTTTCCTTAATAAATTCTCCGTCACTGAGGGCTTTTCCATGCTGAGCTATGGAGTGAGCAATACAGTAACTTGCTGATGTTAAATTTGTAGAGCATCTTACAAATTTAATGATGTAATTTGATTGACTTTTATAGAGGTGTAGCTGCCTGGAAATATATTCCTTCCTTTCATCGATACTTTTTTTCAAGAGCTGACAGTGATTAGTTTCAAAATGTGTCTTTACATTCCATGTTCTGCTTACTGCCGTTTCATTACACAGTATGCACAATGATCTGTTGTTTTTGTCGACAATCCTGTACATCTCGGTCCATATGTCTTGAAAGGGTCGGCTACTGCTACTTCCACTTCCTTTATCATTCAATCTTGCTTTTTTATTTTTTTGATTCTCCAACACAAGCCTGCAAAAATAAATAAATATAAATCACGGCGTTTTTTATAAAAGGTTGATAGGTTTCTTACCTATTAACTTTTTGCAGTGTTGTTGCACTGACTCCTGGTGCAAAACAATTCAAAGGTAGTATGTATAACCAACAAATATATGGTGCTGCAATCAATTATCCCACACGCAGAATGTCTCGTCGAGCCCTGTTGCACTGTATATCTTTTTCTTCTAACCCTCCCACTCCTGTCTCCTAACGAACATGGCGATCAAGTGCGTCCGTTTGCCGAGTGCACCCGAACGCACGGGAAGCTCACCTGAGGCACATGTTGACAATAACGAGGCCATTTCCAGAACTGGGCATTTTGTCACTCGAGTAAAAATAAAATGTCATGAGTAAAGATTAATCTCTTTATAGTGCAATTCTTAACTTTTTTATATTAATGTCAATATTGGAACAATGTATCTTGGGTGTTTTCACTATGTATCTTTGCTACGCAACACCGCTGTACATGTTTACATCCGGTTTTAGAATTGCATTATTGATCATGAGTAACGTGAGTAATAATATTACTTGAGTGATGCCCAATTCTGGCCTTTGCGAGAGACAAATATTTGAATTACGCAATTTTTTGTCTCTGTCGATGCGTGTCACCCAAAATGAGTTCGAGTGTCACCTCTGACACGCGTGTCTTAGGTTTGCCATCCCTGGTCTAGACAGCATGCCATTCCACTCCCCACCTTTCCCCACCTCAGAGAGATGTCCTACAACTTCTCAGTTGTAGTAACTGTCAACCAGGCAAACAATTCTTGCCTAGAGACACACAAATTAATTCTGTCTGCAGGATGAACAACTCTCACAGCTGGTAGAAAAGCTGTTTTGTGCCCACCTGAGCATCTGGTGCAGCATTCCTTTCCTCAGTATAAATCTGCCCCTTTGGCCCTAACCGGGTGGCTCAGTGGATAGAGTGTTGGCCTGCGGACTGAAGGATCCTGGGTTCAATTCCGGTCAAGGGCATGTACCTTGGTTGCGGGACCAGTCCCCAGTGGGGGTTGTGCTGGAGGCAAATGATCGGTGTTTCTAACTCTCTATCTCTCTCCCTTCCTCTCTGTAAAAATCAATAAAACATATTTTTTAAAAAATCTGCCCCTTTGTCTGACTTCTCTTTTGAATGGATTATAACATCTTGGTTCCTGCAGTTCATTAAAGTTAAAAAAATATTTAACATGTGCTCATGTCCTAATGTATAAGAACCATGACTTTTCTGGGGGGGCGGTAGTTATCCTTTAACAAAATAAGCAAGTAAACAACTAGCACGTTGCTAGGGTAAGATGTTATGGAGGAAATAAAGCAGAACAAGGAGGGGAACGGGCATGCCGCTCTGGAGAAGGCGCTCCGGGAAGCCCTCCTGGATAAAAGTGCTGCCAGTGACTCCTTATCTGCCCTCCAGAGGTGCCGGGTGCGTCCGGGCTGGCCTGGCCGGACAGCCTCTGAGGGATGCGAGGGCGCCGGCCGGCAGGGCGGGCTGGACGGGCCACCCGGGCCAGCGGTGGGGGCCTCGGCGAGGCCGCGCCAGGCGGGGCCCGCGGTGGGCGTGTCCGCCCAGGCCCCGCCCCGCCCCGTGACGTAAGGCCCGCGCCTGCCCGTCGGGGTGAGCAGCCAGCCAGGCGGCGGCGGCCGGACGCGGGGTGGCCGCGGGCGCAGCCGCGGTGCGGGGCCCATGGCGGCGGCGGCGGCGGCGGCGGCGGCGGGGACGGCGGGGACGGCGGGCGCCCAGGCGGCCGAGGGGCCCCCGGGGCCGGCGGCGGCGCTGGAGCTGTGGCTCAGTGAGTAGCCGGCGCCCTGGACGCGGCCCAGCGCCGCACGTGAGGCCTGGCTCCCGCTCCCCGGCCTTTCCTCCGGGGCCTGCCGGGCGGGGTCCGCGGGGCTGCGGGCGGAGCCCCGTCTCCAGCCCCGGGCAGGCCTTCGCGGGCCCCTGACGTCCGGCCTGTCTTCCGTGCCGACACGGAAGCCGGTTTCAGCCGTGGTGAACCCGCAGGGGGTTCCCGAGCGGCGGCTCCCTCGCTCACCCCGTTTGGAGGCGGGGACGTGCCCCTGCGCGGCCCCCTGCGCTTCGGGGGCTGGGGGAGGGGGGTCCTGCTGCCGTCTCTCCTGTCACCAGGTCCTCCTCCTGTGCGTGGGGTTCGCAGGGGCCGGACGGCGGGCGGGTAGTGTCGCCTCCCGTGAGCTTGACCCCAGGGTGGGCCGGGGTGACCGTCCCCCCGGGAGAGTGTGCGCCGGGATCGGGCTCTTAGGGGCGGCGCACGGATGCCTCGCACCGGTCCTCGCTCACAAAGACAGTTTTCGGTTGATCCAAGCCTCTAACATCACCTTGTTTATAATGGGCAGAGGGACGCGTTGGTTTGACGTGCGGTAGTAGGAATTTTTGTTTCCCCCCCCCCCCGGGACTGTTTCCGTGGATATAGCATTTGAGTGGGTAATGGAGGCGACATTTCAGACGGAACCACAAGTGCACAGCTGGGGCAGGAGGCGGCCGGAGCATTCTGGGCACTGCCGGGTGCACGGCCAGAGGCCCAGGCTGCAGGGCGTTGGGACAAGCTGTCCCAGGGGCTTGTTGCTGCAGAAGGGAGTTTATCATGTATCCCGAGATGTGGGGTTGAGGGGCAGACGTTGGACTTCGGCCAGAGGGTTTGAGATCAAGGACACCTCTTCAAAGTATCACCTGCCGCCATATGGCCTGAGACTTGGGGGGGGGGGGGGGAGGTGTTTAAGGCTCTTTTGGTGGTGTTTTGGGGCTCAGGTGGGACAGAGGCTTTAGGACGGAGAGTAGAAACAGTTAGCAGGCACAAACCAGCCTGGAGGCATTCGAGTGGAAACAGTTAGCAGGCACAAACCAGCCTGGAGGCATTCGAGTGGAGGCCAGAGACGGGGAGGAATCCGGGCTGGGTCCCAGGTTTCTGGATCCGTAGCTGGTTGGTTCCAGACCGTCACCTGTCGGGAGGAGCTGGTGTAGGAAGGAGGAGACAGTGGGTTGTGATGTTGGCGCAGTGAGAGAGTTCCTCTCTAGGTTAGTTGGTCCGCCCCAGGTCAGGTCAGAGCTGCAGGTCAGCTTGGGACTCTTCAGTTCATTGGCATGAGCTTGTCCAGGGAGGCTGTGAACATGAAGAAGGGCAGAGACTTGCAGAGGGAGCATGGGGAACCTCAACATTTAAGAAGCAGATAGGACCCGGCCAGTGTGGCTCAGTGGTTGAGCGTTGACCTATGAACCAGGAGGTCATGGTTCAATTCCCAGTCAGGGCACATGCTTGGGATGCAGGCTCCATCCCCAGTGCGGGGCGTGCAGGAGGCAGCCCGTCAGTGATTCTCTCTAATCATCGATGTTTCTATCTCTCCCTTCCTCTCTGAAATCAATAAAAATATATTCTAAAAAGAAAGAAAGAAAAAAAAGAGAAGCAGATAGGAAAAGCTGCCTGAAGACAGAAGGAGAAGCAGACATAGGGTGGGCAGGTGGGAGCTGGGAAGTAAAAGGTGAACAGTAGACTTAGGCTGGAGTTGCAGAAAGCTCGAGTGGGCTGGGTGAGAGGACAGCAAGTGCTGGCCCACTGACCGGACCCGTTGACCATCTCGATGACCAGGTGGAAGAGATGAGAGGGAAAGTGCCCAAGGTGGTTCCTCAGCTCCAGCTGTTTTAGGCAGACTAGTCCCAGAGTTGTAGAGCTTTCAGTTTTTCACATAGGGCTGGAACCTGCATTTTTACGTGAAATCTTTTGAGTTTTTAAAAGCCGATAACTATACCCTGGCCAGGTTGCTAAGTTGGTTGGAACCTCGTCCGATTGTGCCAAAGTTGTGGGTTTTATCCCTGGTCAGGGCACATATAAGAATCAACAATGAATGAATAAATAAGTGGAACAAGTCAGTGTTTCTCTCCATCGCTCCCTCTCTTCCTTTCTTCCTTGCGCACTCTCTCACTTTCCTACCCTCCCTCTCCCTCCCTTCCTCTCAAGTCAATAACTAAAACATTAAATAAATAAATAGTAAAAGCTGACAACTACTTCGAAAATGAAGTTCATCTAGTCCAGGCCAGGCAGAATTAATCTGTGGGGAGATGTAGTCTCTGGCTATCAGCACCCCCCGCCCCCCTTTAAAAAATGTTTTTATTGATTTTTAGAGAGAGAGGAAGGGAGAGGCAGAGAGATAGAAACATCAATCATGTGAGAGAAACATCATTAATAGGCTGCCTCCTGCACACCCCCTTCTGGGGATCAAGCCCATAACCCCGGGTATGTGCCCTGACTGGGAATCAAACCAGTGACCTTTTGGTTCCTGGATGGACGCTCAACCACTGAGCCATACCCAGCCGGGCTAAATGGTGTTTGAATGTGAAATGGAGGAGAGACAGTAGCCAGAGGGAATTCGGATGTAAAGGAGGTCTGAAAAGGAGGTGGGCATCACTGAGCCCCTCTCTACTTGATGCTGCTTTGGGGGAACTCTCCCTCCTGAATTCAAGGTCCCACATTCAAGCCATTGCAGAGGGGCTTAAAGGTGCTAAAGGTCAGAGCTAGAGCAGAAAGGGGGACACAGAGCACGGGCACCTTTTGTTTTTCTGAATGTCTGGGAAGGAGATAAAGATGATTGCACATGCAAGTAAGTTTGTCAGTAACACCCCGTAACCCACACTCCCACCCCCCCAAAAAAGTGTTAGGCGCTGATGGGGTGTGAGGAAGGTGGGGATGTCTGGGAATGGCTGGTAAGAGAAACAGAAGGGAGCCCACCTGGACACTTGGGGACACGGTTTCTCAATTTCAGTGCTGTTGACATTTTGGACCTTATAATTCTGTGTTGTGCGGTCCTGTCCTGTGCATATAGCTGGTTAGTGGAATCCCTGGCCTCTACCCACTAGATACCAATAGCACACACCCTTTTCCCAGTTGATCAAAAATGTCTCCAGACATTGCCCGATGTCCCTTGGCGGGGAGAGGCAGGATCACCTGTTGCCTCCCGACCTCCACCCAGTAGGAGCAGAGAAGGTGAACTAGAGTTAAACCAGAGTTGTGGGAGGCTGGGCTGGGGCACTGAGGGGGTGCAGTGGGAGGATGAGGGTGGGGAGGTTGCAAAGGCCAGGGCAGCAGGCTGGACGGAGAAGGAAGTCACTTAGGTTGCTGAGGACTGCTGAGCTCGGCTCATTGACAGACCTTCCTCATCAAGCAGGGCAGCTGAGTTTCCAAGAGGGGACTAGAGTCAAAACAGGTGCCTTTTAGGGTCATAGGCATCAAAGGAATCAATACCTGTGAACACTTGGAGTAGTGCCTGGCACATAGCAATGTTAGCTACTGTTATCATTAGTCTTTCTAGTTGTGAGTGACAGAAAACTAGCTCATATAGGATTCCCAAAAACAGGAGAAAGGCAAACCATTACACCTAGAATAGGGAAGGAGTAGTTCCCCAAAGGGTCATCAGGAAGCTGTTACCAGAAGTTTCACACTTTAAAAATACACACAGCAACTTGTGTCATGCAGGAGTTTCCCCGCGTGGATGATTTTGGTCAGTGTTTCACATGACTGTGTAACTTCTGGATTCCTGTTAATGAAAGCCCCAGACACCCCGATGTATGGGTGTACTGTGGCTTGGCTAACCAGTCCCCAGTAGCGGACATCTTAGGTGGTTGCCAGTCTCCTGCTATTGAAAGCAGACCAGGCCCTCTGGGTCTCTGGGATTCGTGTAGCTGGTCGTGCCGCCAGCAGGCAGTAGCTTAAAGCCGGGTGCTCAGTGAGCCCCTTCCAGCTGGACCTCCTCCCAGGGGGTGTGTCCTGTCTTTTCCAGCCCTACTTGTATGCCTCCCTTGGGATTAGGAGTGTCTGGGTTACAATCTATTTATGTCTCGGAGCTTCTCCAGGGCTGAGTTCAATCTCTATCGAGGAGCCCAGCACAGGATACCCTTTAGCATATGCTTGTTGAATGGCTGCTGGGCCGGAGCAGCCAGTGCACCTCCTGCAGATGGCTCCCCTTGCAGTGCAGTGTCTGCTGTGGATGGGTTGAATCCGATGCTCCTTAGGGCTCCCCTATCGTATAACACAGGCTGCTCCAGCCGGCCAGAGGGCCAGAGACATGTCCCTGGCGTTTGGGTGCAGGGGGTGGGAGGTGGTATTTCTTCTGGATTAGTCACTCTAGGATGAGTCATTTCACTCACAATCAGAAGTGTAAGCAGTTTTCTTTCCTCTTTTATTTTAACTTTTTTATTTTTTTTTATTTTAGAGAGAGAGGAAGGGAGAGGAGGGGAGAGAGAAAAACATCGATGTGAGAGAGAAATACTAATCAGCCAATCCCTGCACGCACCCTGGCCAGGAGCCAAACTGGAGGCCCCCACTACACAGGATGATGCTCATCCAACTGAGCCTCACCAAGCCAGGCCTCAACAGTTTTCTTTCTTTCTTTTTTTAAAAAATATTTTTATTGATTTCAGAGAGCAAGGGAGTGGGAGAGAGAGAGAGAAACATCAATGATGAGAGAGAATCCTTGATTGGCTGCCTCCTGCATGCCCCTAACGATCGATCGAGTGTGCAACCCAGGCATGTGCCCTTGACCGGAATCGAATCTGGGACCCTTCAGTCCGTAGGCCTTCGCTCTATCCACTGAGCAAAACTGGCTAGGGCTCAACAGTTTTCTTAATATCTCTTACCAAGTAGTCTACTTGAAATGCCTACACACCTTGCTTTTATTAAGCTAATCTGTGACAGTAGTATTATTTGTCCGCCCAAGTGCCAGTTAAATAAACCGCCTTGGTGCCAGGGGTAGCCGTTCTCAGTGCCCTGATGGGGCAGTGATGGTCCTGAGACACAGGAAAGGGGTTCTGTGAGTTTCTCACTAGCTATGCCCTCTCGGGGATTGGCGTCAGCGAGCCACTCATTAGGGGATTGGCATCAGCAGGTCTGGGCAGTTGCTTTGGCCCAGTTGGACCCAGTTTCTGTGCTGTGGGGGTCATGTTCTTTGGAGCTGCTCTAGGCTTCTGAAATAGCTGGGGTTATGTGTTGGGAGACGCAGTTATTTCAGAACTGGAATAGCCGTCTCCTGGAGTCAGCAGTCTGTCCAGCCACCTGGCCAAACTGCATAGCAAAAGATGACTCATTCATTCGCGTAGTAAATACCTGTGCCAGTGACTGTTTTAGTGCTGGAAGGTGAATGATGTGGACCTTCTTGCCTAGGGAGCTGGTGACTTAGTGGCAAGAAAGGCAAGGAAACGAGTTCTCAGAGATGTCCTGCCTTTATCCAGGAACTGAAGCCTTTACTGTGAAGAACGTGCCAGGAGTCAGGCCGACCTGGGACAGTTATTGTCTCTCCTCTCATAGCTTTGTGGACGGGCGGGCCTCTCCACTAGTAAAGGGTGTCCCAAAATTCACGCAAGAAGTAATTTTGGTAGAAAACACAGGTTTATAATTAAAAATTGTAAATTTTTTATATTTCATAAAGTATACAGTATGTATGGAATAGCATATCGGGTAAATGGCCTCCACGGCTGTGCTGGCACATACGCACTCTTGTTATTGCCTCAGTAGCCGCATTTTCGAAGAAGAATGGTCCGATGATGCCTCCAGCCCAAAATCCACACCAAACAGTGACACGCTGTGGATGCATTTGTTTCTCAACAATCACTTGTGGATTTTCTGAACCCCAAATGCGACAATTTTGTCAACTAACCAAGCCATCAAGATGAAAATGAGCCTCATCGAAATTCAGCCACGTTTATGCAAAACGGTCATGGAAAATTTCAACAAAAGAGTGCGTATGTGCCAGCAAAGCCGTGGAGGCCATTTACCCGATATGCTATTCCGTACATAACCCTATACTGTATACTTTATGAATCAATAAAACATTTACAATTTTTAATTATAAACCTGTGTTTTCTATCAAAATTACTTCTTGCGTGAATTTTGGGACACCCTTTAAAATGGCGAGATAATAGGACCAATTTCACCTGTTCTGAGGCTACAAGGGCAGGAAGGCCTGATTGGAAAACACTCAGCATGGTGTCCGGGCCACAGGCAGCTCTTTAAGCGGCAGCTGTGACTGTTGTTGCAGTTACTGGGGCTATAACGAACCTTGAGTGAGATCTCATGATAAAATAAGAAACACTCACACTTCATAGGTCTTCCCGCTGCCTGGCCTTGGGAAAGGGTTTGGAACGTGACTTAGCCTCACAGAAGCTTCTCCTTTCTCTGGAAAAGCTGGTGCCTGTCTTGTCCTTTGACCTCCTCTGGGAGGCCAGTGAGGGGCTGGGGCCTGCCTGCTGTTCTCATGTGTTGAGTGCCGAATGCCTTTGAGGTGTCAGCCTTGACCTTGTAGTGAACCGAAACCTCAGGAAGCTTAAATGGTGTAGGGTTTTGTTAGATGCTTCACACCCCCTTAATCAGGTTTTCTGAGAATCACTGTGATGACTGGAAAGGTGAGCTGAGGTGTTTTTCCTGGGGTTGTCTTCCATGGACCAGAAGATTTAAGCTAAAGTGTGGAAAATTTATTACAAGCAGATTCAGACTCCTCGAAAGGGAGGGGTCTCAATAATGGGCTTCCCCCCTAAAGCCTTGTAGTCCAGGGGTACACTAGTATATTTGTTAAAAGCCTGCTCTAGTCTATCTGTGTTGTCACCTGATTGATTCCTCAATTCTTCTAGCCCAGCAACAGACCTGAACTGTCCCTGTGTCTATGTGCTCTCTGTCCCTGTGCTGGACTGTCCCTGTGTCTCTGTTCCCTCTCTGTCCCTGTGCTGGACTGTCCCTGTGTCTCTGTTCCCTCTCTGTCCCTGTGCTGGACTCTCCCTGTGTCTGTGTGTTCTTTCTCTGTTCCTATGCTGTACTTTCTCCGGTTTGTACACCTTGATGCAGGCCCTCCCTTGGTTTCCCATGCCTCCCACTTTGAGTCCAGAAACATTTTATTATTTCTGCTTGGTTGGTTCCTATGATTAGCCTGCTCAAACTGCCATGTCTGCCTCTGCCTATGTTCCACCTGCCTTTGTTTTCCCCTGGACCCTGCCCTATCCGCCTGCGTTTCAACTTAACCCTCTCAACTGCTTTAAATAATTTGTTTCATGAGTAATTTATTTTGTACTTATGGCTAAGGCATTGTGCTAAGCTCTGTGGGGAATATATGGCTTCTGGTTTTAAGAATTTTATTCCCTATAGGTGTAATAAGGCAGTTGTACATATTTTTAAGAGGAAAGGCTGAGGCTGTGTATTACAATAATGATAAGATTAGCTATTCTTTATTGATTACTTAATATTTGCTACTGCACTGATCACTTCAGACACTATCTTATTTTTATTTTTTATTAATCCTCACCTGAGAATATTTTTCCATTGATTTTTATAGAGAGTGGAAGGGAGAGGGAGAAACACACAGAGAGAAACATTGATGTGTGAGAGAGACATTAATTGGTTGCCTCCCACATGAGCCCAAACCAGGGCCAGTGTTCGAGCCTGCAACTGAGGTACATGCCCTTGACCTGGTCTGCAGGCCAACACTCTATCCACTGAGCCAAACCAGCTAGGGCTAGATACTATTTTCTTTAAATTCCATGACTATCCCGTGAGAAAGGTACTATTTTTCTAACTTCCCAGAGAGCCCAAGGACATGTATGTAATAAGGGATGGAGTTAACGGGGCAGTGGAATGTGGACCTTCAGAGAGGAAGAGACAGTTTCTGTTTTCTGTGGTGGGAGTAAAAGATCAAGGGCATCTTTTAAAATTTTTAAATATTTTTTTTATTGATTTCAGAGAGGAAGGGAGAGTAAGAGAGAGACAGAAACATCCATGATGAGAGAGAATCATTGATAGGCTGCCTCCTGCATGCCCCCTGCTAGGGATTGAGTCCGCAACCCAGGCATGTGTCCTTGCCGGGAGTTGAACTGTGACCTGGTTCATAGTCAACACTCAACCATTCAGCCACACCGGCTGGGCTTTCATATAGATCAAGGGCATGTTTATGAAGAAGGGGCATTTGAATTGGGACCAGAAAAGTGGATAGGATTTTGAGAGGTGGAACCTCAGAGCTTTGACGAGGAAAAAGGTGAGGAGTATATGGATATTGGTAATCGATTCCTTCGCTTTCCTTGGTCACCTTTTTCACTTAGAGTGGAAGCCGTGGGTGGGAAGATAGGTGATTACCTGTCCTTTGAGTCTCACCGTTGAGCTGGGTAGACACATGACTTCCACATGACATGAATGTGCCTGCAGTCAGGCAGAGGTAAACTCTAGTCAGCCGCTGAGTCTTGAGTAATCAGGAGGGAGGAGAATTAGTAGGGGCTGGAATAGTAGGGGAGGAGGTTTCAGGGAGGAGATGGAAATTCAGATGGTTTTAGAACATCCGAATACATCAGAAATCTGACCCTGAGAATTAGTCTGTTTGCAGGGTTTGAAAGAGCTTCTCTGTCAGGACCAGTAAGCTATGCATTGGAGAGGCTGGTTGGCCTTGATGGGCCAGACAGTGGGGAGAGGGGGGTGTTGGGAAGCTAGTCTCAGCGACTCCTTTTGTGAGAGAATGTGACCTGGCTCAGTCTGGGGATGGGGACACGTGGGTGGGTGTCCTTGGGCTGCAGCACAGGTTTTCTCGAGGGAGGAGAGGAAGAAGCTGCTACCATCAGCACCAGGAAGGATGCATACAAACGGGTGTTCCAGGGAGGTCGGGAATTACCCCTCCCTCAGTGGACTGTGGTCTCATGTCAGGCTTCTGATAATGCCCCGCTCCACGTAGCTCCTGCCTCTGGCTCTGCCCTGATGCCTTCACTGTTCAGTGTCCTCAGATTTCACCCAAGTATGAGTATTCAGGTGGGGAACCCTGGTATGATTGGATCTGGGTCCCTGGGAATGTGTGTGATAGTGAAAAGGGACAGCATTATGAGGAGGGAAGGCGAGGAGATATCTTCAGGTCAGATTGACAAGCTGCCAACACACGGAGAAGCTTCTTACATAGGATGGTCAGGGAGGACTTCAATAAGCCGAGGCTTAGCTTTTGAGGAGATGGTGAGATGACCAAGTGGAGCCACCTAGAGCCTCAGTGTATTCTGTCCTCCTGTCACAAAGCTAAGAAACTTACAAATAGCCTCCAGGTGCTGGCCCCTGCCACCCTCATGGCAAGGGAGTCCTGCTCCCTGCACTGGCAATGGAGCCCCTTTCAGGGCTATAGCTTGACAACTAATGTGCTTGTTCATTCAGTCAGCAAATGTTCACTGAGGCCGTGTCATGTGCCAGCCACTGCTTGTGGTGGGGACAGCACAGGGATGGGCCTGTCTCGGCTGTCGCCTAGAGGTCTGATCCCCTAGAGGTGTGATGTCATAGCTCTTGGCTGTCATATTTATTTTAGGGGAAGAGGTGTACGTTTCTTTTTATTATGCTTTCTGTAATTTTATCTTTTATTTACTTGACAGATAAAGCCACAGACCCCAGCATGCCAGAACAGGATTGGTCAGCTATCCAGAACTTCTGTGACCAGGTGAACACTGATCCCAATGGGTAAGGTGACCTTCACGCTGGACCACGGGGTCCTTGGATTAAGTGCATGCCGTTGGTCTTGGGGCTATTTTAATAGCCTTTCTTTCTTTTTCCCCTCCACAGTCTACTGAGAACATCATTTTTTTTTAGAGATAGCAAATTCATGTGGTTTTTTAAAAACAAACAAACGAATAGTCAGTTTGTAACTGGCAATTATTTTTAAAATAGCATTATGAAGTAGTCATACTCAGGAGAACTGGATGCTACATACGGGTAGAAGGTAGCAGCGTGAAAGAGCTCATGTGCTCTCCATAATTTAAATGTAACCTTTCTTTAGAAGAGGCAAGAAAAGGGCAAGATTGTGTTGAATTTTTTTTCCAAAGCATCTGGACAGGAACTGAAGAATCAGATGTTTATTCTGCATATTGCTGACTATGCAGAATTTGGAAATGGGCTAAAAGTTTGATCGCAATGTCTACTCTAGTGTTTATCAGACAACAAACAGGGTCTATGTTGCTCATGACCTGGCTACCCGTAGGCCTGGTCCTGACTGCTCTGCTCGGAGCTTTGGGGTGCATGAGTTGGGGAGGGTGGTGTGTCTGGACAGCAGTAGTTGTGGGAAGGGAAGGTGGGGTTGGCCTCCTTCAGAGGCTTGTGCATGGGCCGTGTGCCAGTCACATTCCACCTCTGTTGTGGGACCAAACTCCTGGAGGGAGGAGACTTCATGGAGCGCACTTGCCAGACTGTCCGCCCAGAGCCCAGGTGTCTTTGTTTTCCCGTAGCCCAACCCATGCGCCCTGGCTGCTGGCTCATAAGATCCAGTCTCCACAAGAGAAAGAAGCTCTTTATGCCTTAACGGTAAGCTTGGCCCTTAGCCTCCGTTCTCCTGTCCTGAGCCAGAGGGAGCTGGGCCCCAGCCCCATTTTGGAGTGGTGGGGAGCCTGAGAGGTTCACCTTCGCTGGCCACGGAGGCTGGGCTCTGGTCGCCCGTCCTACGTCTGCTTCTAGAGAGCAGCGCCGAGCTTGCTTTGGGAGAAGGAAAGAAAGGTTTTATTTCCTTAGCTCTTCATAGACCAGGGCTGGTAAGTTAAGTGCCCACAGGGCCAGACTGGTGACGTAGTGAGTGAGCCACTGGGTGAGGACCAAAATCCTGGAGAGCGCTTGTCCAGCCAGGGAAGGATGGCTGCAGTGTGGCACCAGCTGGTATTGCCAGCCATGAGTTTGGGCCCGTTGTTGTTAGAATTTCTTGTCTTTAAAGAGAAACCGGAAGTCCAGATTTTTGTATGAATTCTCTGAATTAAAAAATATATATTTCATTGATTTTTTTAGAGAGAGAGGAAGGGAGAGGGATAGAGATAGAATCATTGATGAGAGAAACATCATCAGTCAGCTGCCGCCTGCACACCTGTGGGGATTGAGCCTGGGCATGTGCCCTGACTGGTGGCCTCTTGGTTCCTGGTTTGATGTTCAACTGCTGAGCTATGCCAGCCAGGCGTGAATTCTCTGAATTTTTTTTATGTTGGTGACTAACCTGACATGTTTAACTGTAGTGTGGACCAAAGAAAATGTGTGTAGGCCCCACTTGCATGCCAGCAGGGGACATGTGGCTCAGCAATTCATGGGCCTTACATACTGGATGTGGCCTCTGAGCTGGAGGGAGTCACCTGCCCAAAGGATCTCCTTAAAGGTGGGGTGACTTCAGAGTACACACACCACTGAGCTGTTTTCTGGGCACAAACATGTTAGATATAGCAAGATCAAATAGGTGCTTTTTTAAAAAAATTTGAAAATGTTACCCTTTCCCCCAAACTTCAGTGTCCTCATTGTCCCGAGTTAAAACTAGCTCTGGTTCCAGCAAGTGCTCATCAGATTTCAGGCGAGCCTGGAGCCAGAGGTTTTCCCATTCTCATGGGAATCCCGTGTCTGTGCAGGTGCTGGAGACGTGTGTGAACCACTGTGGAGAGAAGTTCCACAACGAGGTGGCCAAGTTCCGCTTCCTGAATGAGCTGATCAAAGTGCTGTCCCCAAAGGTGAGTGCCATGGTCTTGGCCCTGCTTACTGTACTGCACCTGGCCCAGCCTTCAAACTCTTGCCCCCTCCTGTGTACGGCCTGTCTCAGGTTTGTGAAGGAGCTGAGAGAGGAGGCCCTAGATGGCAAAGCTCTCTTCTCCAAGGACTAGGATGACTTTGCTGATCCCTGCCCTCCATTGTTAGCATCTTTAAATTATTCTCCCTTTAAAAATGGCCTTTTGGCCCAGCCTGAGGGGCTCAGTTGGTTGAGTGTTATCATGTGCACTGAAAGGTTGCCAGTCTGATTCTTGGTCAGGACACATAGGTTGCAGGTTTGGTCTAGATTGGGGAAGGCAACCAATTAATGTTTCTCTCTCTTCCTCTTCCTTCTTCTCTTTCTAAAATCAATAAAAATCCTATGTAATAAAAGGCTAATATGCAAATCAGCCGAACAGCGGAACGACCGGTCGCTATGATGCACACTGACCACCAGGGGGCAGACGCTTAACGCAGGAACTGCCTCCCTGGTGGTCAATTCACTCCCACAGGGGGAGCACCACTCAGCCAGAAGCTGGGCTCATGGCTGGCGAGCGCAGCTGCGGTGGTGGGAGCCTCTCGCGCCTCTGCGGCAGCGCTGACAATGTCTGACTACCAGCTTAGGCCCGCTCCCCGTGGGCTCCCAGACTGTACCCCCCCCAAGTGCATAAATTTCATGCACTGGGCCTCTAGAGAGAGTGTGTGTGTGTGTGTGTGTGTGTGTGTGTGTGTGTGTTGCCCAATGGCCTTGTGGATGGGTGGCCTAGATGGGGAGCACAGGTTTCCTGGTAGACAGCAAGGGATGCTAGATGTGGCTTTAAGTTTCATACCACTTCTTGCCTTGTCCTCTGCACCTTTCCCCCTGGCACCTGTCTCAGCTCTGCATTCTCAGGTAACTGACACAGATGGAGCCTTTCTTTGCTGCTTTCCAGCAACACTTCTCTGATACCAACTGTGTGTCCTGCAGTTTAATTCAGTTCAGTTCTGACACTACCCAGAGTTAGTGCAGAACCTACGTGATCAGGACTTCATGATACTTAGATGATGCCTAATTTAGACACCAGCCATGAGTCTGTTCTTCTGCCTGACCAACTACAGAGTTGGACTTCCCAGACCACCTCCACAAGGTTCCATATTCACTACAGGAAAGCACTGTACTTACTGTGGTTATAAAGGAGACAAATGGAGGGGATACATGGCCAGGGTCTTGGGGGGGGGAGGAGCAAGAGCTTGTGTGCCTTTTCTTATGGCGCCCAGCCCACCACCCTTCAGCACATCAATGTGTTCAGTCAGGGAGCTTGGTGGGCCTTGTTTCAGCTTTACCCAGAGTTCTCGTATGAAGGCACAATGGATTAAATTATTGGCTGGGTGATTGGACTCACTCTCCAGCCCCTCTCCCCTCTTGGGGTCAAATGAGGCTGAAAGTTCCAACCCTCTGGTCACATGGTTGGCCTTGTGGCATAGTCAGCCCCTCCCTTGAAATGAATTCCCACCCTGAGGTTAGCGTAAACTCAGGTCTGGTCCAAGGGGGCTCGTTGTGAGTAACAAAGATTCCTATCACTCAAAAACTTCCAAGGGTTTTTGAAACTCTGTGCCAGAACTGGAGACAAAGACCAAACATATTCTTTATTATTCCTCACCTGCCCCAGTCAAACAATGCGTGTCTCCAGTGGCTCTAACCCAGGCCAATATATGGTGGGTTTTAATTTTAGCTCCTTGTCCCAGGTGATTTGACTTCTGGCTGAGCTTCAGCTCTCAACCTGGGGCAGTTATCTGCTCCGGCATTAGCAGCATCTCCGCCAGCTCTGTAATTCTCCTTCCTGATTGCTTTCAGTACCTAGGGTCCTGGACCACAGAAAAGGTTAAAGGAAGAGTCATTGAAATCCTCTTCAGCTGGACAGTCTGGTTTCCAGAAGACATTAAGATCCGAGATGCTTATCAGATGCTGAAGAAACAAGGTCTGATTTCCATTATTTGCGCTGTGTTCCCTTTTTCACAGCACTTGTTCCTTTTTGCTGTTTTGAGTGCTTTGTGCTTTGTGGGTGAAAGCTGGACAGTGGAAACCGAGACCAGTAATTTTCACTGTCTAGCAGTGGGCAAACCTCTCCTGCTGGTGGCAGGAGCTAGCTGGTTTGAGATTGTTGTTGCTGGGGTTGTCCTCACTGTAGCAGACTTCAGCTTCCTCCAGGGTTAGCTTGTGGTGAGGGTATGGGCTGGTTTGCTAGAGCTTTTCTCAGTGTCTGCTGCTCTTAGCTGAGGTCGTCCTCAGTGCCTCAGAGACGGTCTTGCGCCCTTGCCTTTCCTGGCAGGAGGTAGACCATTGTTGCTTGTTAGTGTCGTCATCTCTGCTCTGACTAGGCCTCAGTCTGAGACAGGCATTGTGTCCCTGGTCTCGGAGATAGAGACCCCGACACTGACACCCGGGGAGGAGGACAGCCTGTTACCCCGAGCTTCTGTATTCTCTGTGAGTTTGTATGCTGTGTCCTGTGTGGCACTGGGAATCCATCCTCCCGTACCCTGGGCTCTGCAGAGGAAGGACCTGGGTTTGGGATGGACTATTTTCCCGTCACATGCACTCAATGACTTTAGGAGTGTCAGGGATCCTGCTGTAGCTTTTGGGCCCTGGGAGGTATGTACCTGAATAAAATGATCAGTATTTTTATAGCATAGACTCTGTAAGCTGCTAACCATAGGCTCTGGTTCTGCTCTGACTTGGTTGGCCCTGATGTCTTGGTGCTGGTTCCTTCGGTTCTCTGGAGGGAGGATGCAGATTATACCCTGGATGTATCTTTGAAGGCCGTTGACGATGTTGCCTGTCTGGGCATCAGGAACCGGGGTTTATATGGGATCCTGATGAAGTCAGTGGGTACCCGTATCAGTATCTTCACTTCATGAATTGCATGTTTCAGGAATCATAAAGCAAGACCCTAAACTACCAGTGGATAAAATCTTGCCCCCACCTTCTCCCTGGCCCAGGAGCTCCATCTTTGATGCTGATGAAGAAAAGTCAAAGGTAAGGAGCTCTTCTCTGACCTTGGTGGCCTACCTGGAATCTGATTAGACCCCTTCTTGTAGTGGCTCCCTTCAAATGTCCCCTGAAATGTCTTCTGAGCCCTGAACCAAAGTGTGGGAGAACATGGCAAGGTTCTGCTCTGACTTGGTCGGCCCTGATGTGAGTTCTCTCTGGAGCAGGTTTTTACGAGTGAGGTAGCATAAGGGTTGGGTGTTTTCTGTGGTGCAGATGGTCAGTCATATGGAAATAACCCGTCGTATGTTGACTTAGGTCTTTTTAGTGCCAGTAAGCCTGCCATTTTCCTCCCCTGCCCCCCCCCCCCTTTTTTTTAAACTTGTGGACATTTTAATGAACTTCCTTCCATGTAGCTTCAAGCCACCAGGACACAGGCCCCACCAACACCCTTCATCTTCTCCTCAGCTCTTCTGCTGAAGAACTGGGCCTTCACGATGACAGGCTGCTTTGGAGCTTTCCCTTCCCCAGAACTTTGTAGTAGCCGATCGCACCACATCAGTGAAGGAGCAGCTCCAGTCTTGCTCTTGACAGCATTTCCCTGTGTCTGCTCACTGACCAGGGCCCACAGTTTATCGAGGCTGACAGTTGGGCAGAAGCTCTGGTTCCCCTTTAAGTTGTAATGTCTCATACCCACTTTCCCAAAGTAGCCTGGGTGATATTTGTCGAAGTTGATCCTGTGACGATGCAAGCTGCCAGCATTACCTCGGCCCCCCTGTGCTTCCTGTGCTTGCCAATGCGGCCGTGGCCGTGGCTCATGTGGCCCCGAAGTTTCCGGGTCTTCTTCAGTCTGGATGGCATGTCGGTGGCCAAGACGCAAAAGACCTACCCATTTTCCTTCTACTGCCTCCAAGAATCTTCAGACATCAGTAAGGGGAAGGAGGTGGTCAAAACCCAGGCCAGGACCCTGGGTTACCCTAGAGCAGTGGTTCCCAGTGGTGGCACATGCCGCACAGGGGGGTAATTTGATTTTTAAGGGGGCAATTCGAGAATGAGTTATTAACAGTGAAATTGTGCACTTCTTATGGTTCTAGGGTCCTCATATGCAGTATATAAATACATATTGTGACATTTATGCATCAGTTCTCTATTACATGTTTTGAAACTTTATTTGCTATTTTTTCATATTACTTCATTTTTTTTTAAACAATTTCTTAGTGATCTCTTCCTCAGTATTTCAACTGTCCTTTCGTTCTTTTATTTTTCTCTTTCTTGGGTGCCATGTTCTTTGGAAGCTTGTTTAGACCAAGATAATGGCCGTTTAGGCTTCCTCCACGTGAATAGGAGTGCACTTAGAATTATATACCACGGGGGAGTATCAGGATTTAAGGGATGCTTAGGTGGGGTGTGGCCAAAAGAAGGTTGGGAACCACTGCCCAGCGCATCAGTGGTGTTGGTGCTTTGGGTCGTTCCTGGTCTTGGTCCCTCACAGGCCCGTAAGTGCAGTACCAGGAGAGCGCCAGGCCATATGTGTGTCTCTCTGGTACCCATGGCCTTCCAGCTGTGCCTTCCTTCCCTGGACCAGATCCTCAGGGGCATGGCATCCTGGAGGCAGACGAGCAGGGCTGCTCTGTGCTCCCTGGCTCCTCTCTGCTGGTGTCTAACACTGCAGAGCGGGGAAGGAGCAAGGGAGGAGTTAGGGCTTGGACTTCTGAGAAAGAAACCCGAGAGAGCTGCTTACACTCTCTGGGCTCAGTAGCCTCATCATTTCTGCCCTCCATCCACCAAAGATTGAGTGACTCCTGTGTGCCAGGTGTTCTGCTGGGCATTGGGAATAAAGCAAACAAGATCGCCAAGGGCTGCCGCATCGTAGAGTCCATGGTCCAGGACAACTCGACACTATTGACCTTTGGGCAAGCTAGTTTTCTTGTTGGGGCTGCCTGTGCACTGTAGGATGTTTACAGCATCCCTGGCCTCCCCCACTAGATCCAGTAGCATCCCCAATTGTGACAACCAGCGTGTCTCCCGACTTTGCCAAGTGTCTTCTGGGGGCTAGCATCCTCCACCCTACCGCCCTGAAACCAGTGGTCTGTGGAGATAGAGGTAGTACTTACATGGCTGCATGATCGCGCAGATTTGCTCAGATAATGCATGTGAAATGTAAAGCTCCTATCAGTGTTAGCTCTTCTATTGCTGATGCCACACACTGGCCATTTGACACCACGGGGAGTAGTTCAGCCTACGCTTCTTGTTCACCTGCAGCTTCTGACAAGGCTTCTGAAGAGCAGCCACCCTGAGGATCTGCAGGCTGCGAATCGGCTGATCAAGAGTTTGGTCAAGGAGGTAGGCGTTTTCCTACCGCATTCTGCAGAACCAGCCTTGGACAGGGCTGCACAGTGTGTGTGTGTGCGCAGCTCTCTGGGGCAGGGATTACCCTACTCTGAGCTGGGGAACAGCCATGGGCTCCCTGAGGTTGCAGGTGGTGACTGGAAGCAGGGGTCATGCTATATGCTTTCTAATTACTTCTGTCCAGGAGCGCAAAGTGTTTCACAGACACCAGTTTTGTCCCAGTGGCAGGTATTGTGTGGAAAGATCCAGTTTGGGAATCTGTTTTTCAGAGAGTTAAGGCTGGTGGTACAAAGTAGTGGCTCGCCAGGCCCCCGCTGCATTGTCTTCCCCAGGAATCCTGGGCTTGGAGGCCTTTCCTCACCGCCGAGCAAGCACTCCCTTTGTCCATTTCAGGACTTGCCTGAGCTCTCCCCCGTGCACTGCCCCTTCCCACCCCTGTTCAGGCTTTATCCAGGCCTTCTGCTTCCTCACTGCCATCCCCTCTCCCACAGGAGCAAGAGAAGTCAGAGAAGGTGTCCAAGAGAGTCAGTGCCGTGGAGGAAGTGCGGAGCCACGTGAAGGTGCTGCAGGAAATGCTGAGCAGGTATCGCAGGCCGGGACAGGCTCCGCCAGACCAGGAGGCCCTGCAGGTACTCTTCTCTGATCGCAAAGAAATAAAGGAAGGGAACAGTTCAGGAGTAGCTAAATGTAACTGACATACTAGAAATTGCACCTCTTTACAGTGTATTTGCTGAGTGTTGATGTGTCCATCTGTGCAGCCATCGTTAAGATCAACAATTCTTTTTTATTTTATTCTCACCAGAGGATATGTTTTTATTGATTTTTTTAGAGAGAGAGAAACATCAGTCGATTGCCTCCTGCACGCACCCTTACCAGGGATCAAACCCATAAACTAGGCTTGTGCCCTGACTGGGAATCGAACCCACAACCGTTTGATACATAGGGCAACACTCCAACTACTTGAGCCACCCAGCTAGGGCACAATGAAGAATTCTTTATAGATTCTGGATATACTCTGCGGGTTGTCTTTTAACTGTCTTGACTGTCGTTTGAAGCAAAAAGTTTTTAATTTTTTTTTAAAGATTTAAAAAAACTGCTTTTTAGAGAGAGGAAGGGAAAGAGAAACATTGATCAATATGAGAGTGAGACATTGATCGACTGCCTCCTGCACGCCTCCTATCAGGGATGGAGCCCACAACCCAGACATGTGCCCTGACCGGGAATCGAACTGTCAGCAACCTTTCAGTGCACAGGACAACACCCAACCAACGGAGCCACGCTGGCCAGGGCAAAAGCTTTTAATTTGGAAGTTCAGTTTGTCTCTGTTTTTCTTTTGTTGATGATGCTCTGGTGTCATACCTAAGACACACCACCACTTGGTGTAGCCAGGCAGGGGATGGTGGGAATGTCTGAGTCAGCCATTCTCAATCTCTCTGGAGCACTGCTTTCTGCTTCCCTCACAGGCTCCCTCCATCACTTTCTGCATTCTGGCTTTTTATACTTCTCTGCATAGGGCAGACCCTTCACATAGTCTACCCGCCCTTCCATTTCACAAAGCTAGCAGAAGCAAACTAGTCTTTCCCAACACCAAATTCCTGAGAGAAAAATCTACTTGGCCAGTGTGGCTCATGTTTCTGCCTGGGTCAATCAGCTGTGACTGGGATTGGGCAGAGTTATAGAGGAAAATGTGCTGGTCTTAGGCTGTGGCGGGAGGGGACTGGACTCAGAAGGGTTGGGGGCTTGAGCCAGGCAGACACTCCAAAGCCGATCTCCCATGGTGAGGTTGTGTGACTGGAGCTGGCCCTGTCCCTTTCACGTGTCAGGCGACCTCCAGGTTCTTGACTTGTGCAGGTGAAGCAAAAGTTTATTAAAGATTAGGACAGTGAGGCAAAGGAAGGGCCCTTAGAGACAGGTTCAGGGATTAGCCTGGGATGAGCTGCTGCTGCCCACTGCTTCCTGGTTGCAAGTCTTGTGGGGACCCTTAGATCTTAGGATAAAGAAAGCAGAAGCACACGCCTAAGGAAAGAGGTGCCTGAGGAAGGAGGTGTGGGGGTGCTCAAACAAGAGCGCAAGCTGGTGTTCTTTGTCTGGAGGTTGTGTCTGTTTTCTACAGGTGGGAGTTACAGGGGAGGGCCCAGGAGAGGGCCAACAGAATGGTCATTGGATTTCCAGGTGTGACAGTTAGTATGCTGATGTATTAAAATGAGCGTATCATGGAGTCTGGGGCCACTTTCCTGGTCCATTTTTCCTCCATCTTGCTTTAGTCTGGATCTAACTGGATCCCTGACTGTGGTGATTTAAACCACCTGCTCTTAGGGCTCTGTGTGGGAGGACAGGGTTTTGTCATTTATCAGCTGGCTGTTAATTGTGCAGTCCCGCTGGCCGTTTGTTCAGCCATTTGTCTCAGTTTCCTCATCGCACGCCAGGGAATTTTCCTAGTATTTACTAACCTGCCTCAGCTGTACCAGAATCCCCCAGGAGGGTTGGCATGTTGGGCTTTGAAGTAGAACAGTTTTGCCCTGGCTGGTGTGGCTTGGTGGGATGTCCATCATCCCATGTACCAAAAGGTCAGAGATTTTATTCCCCGTCAGGCACATGCCCGGGTTTTGGGTTCGATCCCCAGTTGGGGTGTGCAGGTATCAGCCAAATTGATGTTTCTCTATTTCTCCCTCTTCCTTCCCCTCTTGCTCTCAAATCAATAAAAACATACTTTTAAAAAATGCTTTAAAAAAATAGCGCAATTTCCCCCCAGCCAAGATAATAACCAGCTACGGGGTAGGAGAAACGCAGCTGGAAACAAAAGTTCATCTTGATAATGGATAAAGCTGATGTTGGAAAATGTAGCAAGTAAGTACTGGCCAGTGGCTTGCTGATACTGAACCCTAGAACCAGGCAGGTTTACCTGCCACCTAAGATGTTGCTGGCACACCACTGTGCTTCCCACCGGGGGTTCCTTCTGTAACACTTAGAGCAGGTAGGAGCAGATGCAATTGTGGGCTTCCATGGAGGCAGGTCACACTCCAGAGCACAGCTGAAGGAAGGGCTCCTTCTGCTTCCTCTTCCGGACTCGCCTGTTGGATGGGCTATTTCCTCAGCGCCCAGAGAGGGCTGGAGTGTTAGTGGAGCTCCCGTGCAGGGAGGGAGCTTGAGGTGTGCAGAAGCTGTGTGCTCCTCAGCAGTGTGTGGACGGTGAAGTGGTCTGGAGCAGCGGTTGCCAACTGGTGGTCCATGAGGTACAAAAGGTTGGCGACCGCTGGTCTGGAGCACTCTCCCTGCGATGACGGAGGTGAGCTTTCCCACATGGTGTTGGGTGTAGGGTGAGGGGGTGAGGTTTAGTTCTGGAGAACCTGTGGTGGGAATCATGGGAATGTTGCTCTAAAGAGAATACTGGCCCCGACAGCAGTTGGATGGGAAGTCTCCACGGGCTTCCATGGAGGGTCATTCATTGCAAGCTGTTCTTGGGGGAGCAGGGGAAGGGAGCTTAAAGAAGAGTATGTTGTACACTGACATTGTAGTTTCTTTCTGAGCTAAAGTCTTTAAAAAAACATTATTGATGGATTTGGGAGAGAGGAAGGAGGAGAGAGTGAGAAACACCGATTTGTTATTCCACTTATTTACATATTCACTGGTTGATTCTTGTATGTGTCCTGACCGGTGGTGGTGAACCTGCAACCTTGGTGTATTCGGATGACACTAACCAACTGAGCTGCCCGGCCAGGGTTGACCTAAGGTCTTATCACCTTTTTAATTATTATTTAAAAAAATTCTTATACAATTGTAGTTCAGATTGTTTCTGAAACTCTAACTGCCCTGTCACTTCAAACCTGCAGTCATGAATTTGGGGCTGATGGAGGAGAGCTCCTGGGGCCCGGCTCTGCACATGCTTACGCACACCCCGGCCTTCCTGTGGGTCCTGGGTGTGTGGTGAGTGGAGCTCTGTTCCCCAGGTTGTGTATGAGAGGTGTGAGAAGCTGCGGCCCACCCTGTTCCGGCTGGCGAGTGACACTGTGGACGATGACGACGCACTAGGTAACGGCTCTCTTTCTCTCGGCACAGGCAGCAGCCCAGGTGCAGGCAGGCGTGCGCCCTCCTGTTGTGCCTCTGGGGTGCCAGGAACAGGCAGAACGGACTTTCGGGTTTATGGTGATGGGCTCAGGAAGGGCATGACCTGTTTTGACTTAGAACTGATTTCTAGAAGAATCTAGTCTTGAGCAAGAAATCAGCATCTGGTCTGAAAGCATGGAAAGAGGAAATTTACCATGTAGATTGGGTGTGAGGGTGAGAGAAGAAAGAGTAGATAGTGCTGGTGGCCTGAAGAAAGACTGGACGTCCCACAGAGGCCCAGCAGTGGCTGCCAGTGGTCATGTTGGAGGTTCCCCCAAACTGGGTGCCTTCAGGGGCTGGACAGGTAATCTAAGGAGTTAGTTGTAGGGAGAGTGGAGCAATTTTTTTAATCCTCACCCAAGGACATGCTTATTGATTTTAGAGAGAGGGAAAGTGTGTGTGTGTGTTGGGGCGGGGGGAGAAACATCAATATGAGTGAGAAACATCACTCCATTGCCTTCCTACATGTACTCCCCCCGACTGGGGATCGGACCTGCAACCTAGGTATGTGCTCTGACCAGGAATTGAACTGTGCAACCTTTTGATGTACAGGATGGTGCTCCGAACAACTGAGCCACATGGGCTAGGGCAGGAGAATGGAGAATTTTAGTACCTGAACATGGGTATTAAAACATTTTGGGGGGGCGGGGCAATAGGGGGATAAGGACACATATATAATACCTTAATGAATAAAGAAAGAAAGAAAAAAAATCAATCCATTCTGGAAAATAAAAAAAAACCCACAACATTTTGTTTGCCCTGCCAGTGTGGCTCAGTGTTTGAGTGTCGATTCATGAACCAGGAGGTCACGGTTCGATTCCTGGTCAGGGCACATGTCCAGGTTGCAGGCTTGATCCCATGGGGGGAGGGGGTGTGTGCGTAGGAGGTAGCTGATCAGTGATTTTCTCTTATCATTGATGTTTCTATCTCTCTCTCCCTCTCCCTTCCTCTCTGAAATCAATAAAAAATCCAAAACATTTTAGCCCTGGCTGGTTTGGCTCAGTGGATAGAGCATTGGCCTACAGACTGAAAGGTCCTGGGTTAGATTCCGGTCAAGAGCACATGTCTGGGTTGTGGACTCAGTCCTCAGTAGGAGGCATGCAGGAGGCAGCCAGTCAATGATTTTCTCTCATCATTAATGTTTCTATCCCTGACTCCCTTCCTCTCTAAAATCAATAAAAAAAACAAACCCATATTTAAATTTTTTTTTTTTATTGAAACTCTCCAAACACATCAGAAAGGGGAATAGTAGAATAAATCCTATGTACTCTTCTACTGACAATGACCAACTTGTGACCAGTCTTTCCATTTTGTTTCTTCTGTAGCACTCTTTCTCTTCACCCCCCATTCTATTTTGAAGCAAATTCCAAACATTTCAGAGTAATTAAATATCCAGTCAGTGTTCAGAGTTCTCTAGTGTTTCCCTCTTTAAGTACTTGAATAGTTTGTTCTAAACCAGACTCAAAAGAAAAACCATACTTTGAAATTGGTTGAGATATATATATATATTACTTTTAAAAAATATATTTTATTGATTTTTTACAGAGAGGAAGGGAGAGGGATAGACAGAAACATCAATTAGAGAGAAACATCGATCAGCTGCCTTCTGCACACTCCCAACTGGGGATGTGCCCACAACCAAGGTACATGCCCTTGACCGGAATCAAACCTGGGACCTTTCAGTCCGCAGGCCGATGCTCTATCCACCGAGCCAAACCGGTTAGGGCAGCGGTTCTCAATCTGTGGGTCGCGACCCCTTTGGCGGTCGAACGACCCTTTCACAGGGGTTGCCTAAGACCATCCTGCATATCAGATATTTACATTACGATTCATAACAGTAGCAACATTACAGTTATGAAGTAGCAACAAAAATAATTTTATGGTTGGGTCACAACACGAGGAACTGTATTTAAAGGGCCAGAAGATTGAGAACCACTGGGTTAGGGCTATATATATACATATATATTTTAAATATGTTGTTTTCAGAGAGAGAGGAAGGGAGAGGGAGAAAGAGATAAAGACATTGGTGAGAGAGAAGCATGGGTTGGCTGCCTCCTGCACATTCCCTACTGGGGATCAAGCCTGCAACCTGGAATTGATCCGGCGACTCTTGGTGCATGGAATGACACTCAGTCTACTGAGCCCCACTGGCTGGGTAGTTGATATTTCTTGTCTTTTAATGGATAGCCTCCATTCTGTCCTTTTTAAAAATATTTTTTTTTTTTTATTGATTTCAGAGATCAAGGGAGAGGGAGAGAGAGATAGAAACATCAGTGATGAGAGAGAATCATTGATTGGACCCCTACTGACGATCGAGCCCACAACCCAGGCATGTGGCCTTGACCGGAATCAAACCCGGGACCCTTCAGTCTTCTGCAGGCCAGTGCTCTATCCACTGAGCCAAACCAGTAGGGCTGTCCTTATTTTTTTGCGTGAAAAATTTGTCCTTTGATTTGCAGAATTTCTTTTGGTCTCAGTTTTCTGATGGCATCCCTCCTGGTGTTTAGCATGAGTCTCTATTCCTAAGATGCCTTATCAGTGGGATCAGGGGGTTTCATCAGATTGAGGTTCAATTGGGTCGGGCCAGGGGGAGCAAGAATACTTCATAGGTGGTGTTCAAGAGGCCCGCAGTGTCTGGTTGTTGGCAGGAAGCAATGGGGGGTCCCTTCTGGGAGGTAACCTTCTGGCACTTTAGCCTCCATGGCCCCTTGCCCTGTGCTCTCCTGTCTGTCTCTCCTGGGAGCGATTTTTTACACGTAAACCAGACCATGAGAGGCTCATGTAGTTTTTGAAATCTGGGTGTATTTTACACTTTCAGGACATTTTAATTTGGACATTAAGTTTTCATCAGGAATGCTTGATCTATATTTAGATTTAAAAGGGGAGATTCATGTAACAGTTGGTTCCCTACATACCTAAAAGCTTTTTGCTAACTGAATAAAGTACCAAAAAATTCTTTTAGTATTCGCATTCACATTGATAAAACAGCTTTCTGTTTTAATTTTAGATTAATTAAAATAAAGTTTTAGTTCCTTAGTTGATGGAGTCATATTTCAGCAGTTGGCTATCATGTTGGACAGAACAGGCATAGAAAAGTGAAAAAATTTGGTTCCTCCTCTGTCATGAGAATGGAAATGTAGGGGTTCAGGGATTAAGTGACTGGATCTGATAGAGGGGCCTGGTCACATGATCAGGAGAGACAGGGATAACACCCCATCTGGCAGAGCCATGGGACATCTGCCTTGTCGAATGTCTTAAAAAGGACTACAGCCTGGCCGGCATAGCTCAGTGGTTGAGTGTGGACCTATGAACCAGGAGATCACGGTTTGATTCCTGGTTAGGGCACATGCCTGGGTTGCAGGCTTGATCCTACACATCCTCAGTGTGGGGTGTGCAGGAGGCAGCTGATCAATGATTCTCTCTCATCACTGATGTTTCTTTTTTAAAAAACTATATATTTTTACTAGAGGCCCGGTGCACGAAATTTGTGCATTGGCGGGGGCAGGGTCCCCTCAGCCCAGCCTGTGCCCTCTCGCAGTCCGGGAGCCCTTGGGGGATGTCCAACTGCCGGCTTAGGCCTGCTCCCCACGGAGACATCCTTAGGAGAGGCTCCCGCCACACTGCTACGCTCGCCAGCCTTGAGCCCGGCTCAGGGCTTCTGGCTGAGCAGCGCTCCCCTAGGGGAGCACACTAACCACCAGGGGGCAGCTCCTGTGTTGAGTGTCTGCCCCTGGCCGTCAGTGCATGTCATAGTGGCCGGTCATTCCACCGTTCATTTGATTTGCATAGTAGCCTTTTATTATATAGGATTGATTTCAGGGAGGAAGAGAGATTGAAACATCAATGATGAAAGAGAATCATTGATCAGCTGCCTCCTGCACGCCCCCTCCTGGGGATGGAGCCTGCAACCTGGGCATGTGCCCTTGACCAGAATTGAACTTGGAACCCTTCAGTTCATAGGCCAATGCTGTACCCATTGAGTCAAACTGGCTAGGCTCATCACTGATATGGCTATCTCTCTCTCCCTCTCCTCTTTGTCTCTGTAATCAATAAAGAAATATATTTTGGGGAAAAAAAGACTGTGGTTATTGGTAGCCAAACCTGGAGACTCTGATTTTTCTCTCATTCTCCAGCGGAGATTCTCCAGGCAAATGACCTCCTCACCCAGGGGGTTCTGCTGTACAAACAGGTGATGGAGGGCCGTGTCATCTTTGGGAACACAGTGACCAGCACAGCAGGAGACACACCTGACTCCAGAGGTAATGTGCAGAGAGCCTCTCTGTACCTGCTGCTTGGAGCAGCCTCAAATCCCCGGAAAGAGATGATCCTCAGAATATCCTGGGCTATGATGTGGAAATGAGAAAACTCTCCCTCTCCCTTTCCTATGAGAACTGTCGCATGTGCCGTGATGGACTGGCTGGCAGGCTGGACCCCAGCTTTGGCTAGACACAGAAGCAGATGGCTGATTGCGCCCAGGTGTAGACTCCTTTTCTCATGTGTGCTTGCTTATGGGAACTGGAGACCAAAAAATGATCTTGAGTGGTTCCCAATGCCAGCTCGCTGCATCAGAGTCATCTGGACTCTGGTTAAAATGCAAATTCTTAGGTCCCTGGCCTTGGCTTTCTGAGTCAGGGTTGCTTAGGGCTAGGCGAGGGGTGTGCATGTTTATCAAGCCCTGCAGGTGTTTCTGGTTGGCTGTGGTCAGGCACCTCGGAGGGGTTCTGAGCTGGCGAAGCCTGCTGGCTGTGTCCAAGCTGAATGGACCACCAGAGGAGGACTGGCTGCTGGCGGGAAGGCAGTCCTCTGGCTCCTCATTCCAGGCCCCACGCAGGCTCTCTGCCAAGCCCTCCACTTGAGGTGGAAGGTGCTGGGGGTATTGAGGGTGGGATGCTGTGATGTCTTGACTGGGAGGAGGCCCGAGGGAAGCTGGTGGCTTTAAGTGGAGACCTTGCTCTCGCTCTGACTGAAGAGCCTCTCAATCCGTTCTCTAGTCTTGCAGAGTCCAGCAGCCTGCCCGAGGAGCTGCCTGATCGACTTGGAGCTGGACAGTGAGTCTGAGCAGGCTGGGCCTGGGGCACCGTCTCTGCTTCATCAGGACCTGGCAGCCTTAGGTGAGGGGGTGGTTTGGGGAGCAGGCAAGAATGGTCCCGGCTCCCTAGGGAGTGAGTAGGCTGGGTCCCCTTGGGGGGAATGTGCCTGTTTTTAGAGGGAAGTGGGTATACTGGGAAGCTCAGAGCGGTCCTCTTGGCACTTAGTCTCAGGTTCACCGTGGGTGCGGTGAATGCCTGTGGGTTCTTTGCTTTGGGCTTGCTAAGTGCCCTGGAAAGGGTGGACATGGTGCCGCTCTCCCTCCTGTCGGGGTGAGTGATGGTGTGCATCTCCCTCTGTTCCTCTCTTGTAGGAATCAGTGATGCTCCAGTTACCAGCAAGGTAAGGAAGCTCTTCCCAGGGCCCGCAGGGGAGTGGAGGGACAAAGCTGCTTAGGGGAGGGGCTACTGTAGCTTGGGGTGCTGTAGACTTGGAGGCCAAAGCCTCTTCCTCGGTCTGCTGTATTTGGCAGCCCCACAGGGCACACGTCCTCGTCTCCTCATGCTGATCCTCTTCGGTAGTGCCTGGGCTCTGCTCTTGCCCTCCTGCCTCAGGCAGTATAATCAGCCCGGTGCGCACTAGCTTTGGTGGTTCAGGAGAGCTGTGCCGCGTGTCACCGTGGCTAGTGGTCATTCCTACCCTGGCCTCATCTTAGCTCTTCCTGGTTTGGCAGGTTGCCGGGCAGAGTTGCTGTAAGGAAAAGAGGAATCCTGCAGGCACACTGCCGGGTGGCGGTGTTCAGAGCCCATCAGCAGAGAGGAGTGTGCTGGACCTCCTCTCCCCACAGCCACCTTCGGGCGCCCTGTGAGTCGTGTGGGCAGGGGAGGGAGACGAGGGCTCCTTGCATGAGGGCTGGGGTGACCCTTGAAGACAGGCAGAGACATCGCTCTGCGGAGGCTTCTTTGCTTCCCTCCTCCTCCTTTTACTCCATCCCAAGTGAGGAGGGGACACCCTTGGCCAAGGCCTCTGGAGAGGGTTTGTTTAAGCAGCAACAGCAGTGTTAACAATGTTTTTGTTGTGTGTAGGTTGAGGGTTGTTTTTTTCTGATTATTATTCAACTAGAGGCCTGATGCATGAAATTTGTGCAAGAGTAGGCCTTCCTTCCCCCGGCTGCCAACACTGGCTTCCCTCTGCACCGCGACCTGGGCTTCCCTCTGGCTGCCAGCAGGTACCCCGGACCCAGGCTTCCCTCACAGCCCCAGCTTTGTCTGGAAGGTCATCCGGAAGGATGTCCAGTCTAATTACATATTATGCTTTTATTATTATAGATTTGAAGTTAAGTAAAATTTGATCACTAGAGAAATAGTTAATATAGAAAGTCCCAAATGTCAACTCCTAAAGACAATGTTGAATGCTCCTTCTTTGCTTTCTTTCTATACATGCAGTAATGTGTTCTTGTCACTTATTTTTACACAAATGGGATCATAATTTATAAACTGTACTCCAATGTGGATTTTTTCATATCACATATCTTTTTTTTTTTAAAATATATTTTATTGATTTTTTACAGAGAGGAAGGGAGAGGGATAGAGAGTTAGAAACATCGATGAGAGAGAAACATCGATCAGCTGCCTCCTGCACATTCCCTACTGGGGATGTGCCCGCAACCCAGGTACATGCCCTTGACCGGAATCGAACCTGGGACCTTTCAGTCCGCAGGCCGACGCTCTATCTACTGAGCCAAACCGGTCAGGGCCATATCACATATCTTTGATATGAGTGCATGTCAGTTTATATAAATAGTTATATGATTCATATATGCTCATATACGTGCATTTAATAATTTCCCTCTTGTGGATCTTTCCATTGCTTCCAGTTTGGAGGCACTTGGGGCAGTGGTTATAGTCCATGTTTCCTCAAGCAGAGGCGCTCCGAGCTATGAATGTGAACACATTTCCTGAGATCCTGCCCCTTTGCCTCTGGAAATATTAGCAGTTTGCCTTCTCTCAGCAGCCTGAGTGCCATGACCCTGGTGGAGAGAGACCATTGGGCTCTGGTGGCAGGGATGTGTGGCGGGGCTTCTTTCCAGTTCTCTCATCACTCCACAGGGGCCAGTCATTCTTATTTTGATAGGTTACTTCTGTCTGGGCTTCTGTCAGGGTCAGCCTGACAGGTTGAACCGGGCTGAGGTAGGGAGGTGGGAATTGAGAAAAGAAAGAAAGACAGGAGAGTGGGATCAGGAGGACTACAGCTCAATCAAGGAAATGCAGCAAGTTTATTAACCACACAATACTTTTTATACACAAGACACTGAATAGGAGGTCTGTCAAGAGGAATGTATTCTTTGTTCCTCTTAATTTCTAAGGGAGAGATAGAGCAGAAGGACAAATTCTCGGTACAGCAAATCTCAGTAAATAGTGACAGACTTCTTGGTAAGCCATGAAAGGCTGTTCTCATTCTACAAAGGTTGCTCTCATTCTACTGATAACCACCATCCAAACAAGTCTGGGAAAACTGTGGGTAAGGGTCCCAGCCTTGCTAGCCCCTTCAGGTACAAGGACCGTGTCAGCTTATACCTGGTCTCCAACAGGCTTCAGTTTTCCAAAAATGTTTTCAGTTTGTGTTGCAAATGGACAAAATCCTAAAGAAGTGTGAATGAAGTGGTGCCTGAATCTGTGACCATCTTCCTGGCTTCCGTCCCGCTGGGTATCACATATGGGAAACAGCCTGGCTGAGCTGCCTGTGGTCAGGCTGCCTGAGAGCCACATTGGTTACTTTATTAATAGTTTATTGGATCCTCATTATGTCACACATTCCACTGAGTGCTCTTCAGACATTTGCTCATTTAATTTTAACCACCCTCAGAGAACTGAGGCCTAGGTTAACTTACTTATCTAAAGTCACATACCTCTGCCCCAGCTGGTGTGGCTCAGAGGTTGAGCATCCACCTATGAACCAGGAGGTCACTGTTGGATTCCTGGTCAGGGCACATGTCCGGGGTTGCGATCCCCAGTAGGGGGTATGCAGGAGGCAGCCAATCCATGATTCTCTCTCATCATTGATGTTGCTATCTCTCCCTCTTTATTCCTCTCTGAAATCAATAAAGTGTAAAAAAATAGTCACATACCTCTAAAACACACACACATGCTCACATATACATACATGTATTTTTTTTCTTTTTTCCCCTCTCTTATCTTGTTCTTCAGAAAGCCTAACCACAGATTCCTGGAATTCTTGCTTGTCCTTGATATATTTTTTTTTTATTTCTTTGCAGGAATTATATTCCACAGAAAAATATCCCCAAGGAAGTTCCACCAGGGACTAAGTCCTCTCCAGGTTGGTCCTGGGAGGCTGGCCCATTGGCTTCGTCTTCCTCTTCTCAGAATACACCTCTGGCTCAAGTGTTTGTCCCTTTGGAGTCTGTTAAGCCCAGTAAGTGCAGTTTCACCTTTTTTCTTCTTTTTTTCCTTCTATTAGATGCCCAGCTTTATTCCCTGAGAAGTGAGTGGTAGAGGTTTTGCCTCAGGGCAGAGGAGGTGGATAAGGAGGTGGTTTCACATCTCTTAGCTAATATTTTCCTTAATGATTTCTCTGTCTTGGGGTGGATTGGCAGGTGGAATTTAAAAACTAGGGGGATTGAAAAAAAAAAACAAAACTAGGGGGATTGAGTCTGCTTAGGGACTTGATGTTCATTCATTTGGAATCAAGAAGGGAATGTTCACTGTGGCTTGAAATAATTCGGAAGAGTTGGAATGAGAAGGAAATGAAGGAATTGGTTGGTGATTTTCTTCCTCTAGGGATCCTCTAACAGCGGTCGCCAACCGGTGAGGTCCGAAAGGTTGGCAACCGCTGCTCTATAAGGCAGGGAAGTAGATTAATATCTTTACCCACTTACAAAGGAAACTGCAGGCCCACTAAGTAAGGTGACTGCCTGTGGGCAGCACTAGTATGTGAGCAGGAAACCGCTGAGCTTTAGATCTGAGGCCTGGCCCTCTTCTCTGGCGTAGGCCCTGCTGTGGCTGTGGCGAGGTCAGACTGCAGAGAGCCCTGGAACCAGGCAGAGGAGTTAAACAGTCAGTGAGCAGTGGGGGCCCTTTGCACAGTTACTTTGTTAAATTTTGATTTAAAAACAATCTATCTTCAATGTTAGTTGCCTGGTTTTGATAATTGTACTATGGTTTTATAAAACGTTAACATTTGAGCAAGCTGAGTGAAAGGTATATGGGAAATTTTAGTTAGCTTTACCACTTTTTATAAATCTGAAATTATTATGTCCTGACCAGGTAGCTCAGTTGGTTAGAACATAGTCCTGATCTGCCAAGGTTGTGGGTTCGAACCACCAGTCAGGGCAGGTACAAGAATCAACCACTGAATGCATAAATAAGTGAAACAAAAAAGCGATGTTTCTTTCTTTCTCCCCTTCTCTCCCTCTCCCTCCCTCTCTAAAAAACTCCATTAAAAAACTCAAATTATTACAAAAAAAATAATAAAATTAAAAGCAAAAACATATATTTTCAATATAGAAGTTTTAGAAAAGATAGAATAAATCAGAAAATTAAAATCATTTGTACCATTATCACCCAGAAATGGAAGTTTTGTTAAGATCTTAATGTATTTTCTTGTTTTATCCATGTATGTATGTATGTATGTATGTATGTGTGTGTGTGTGTGTATATATATATATATATATATTTTTTTTTTTAAATTAGCACCATAATATATATAGTGTTTTAATCCTGCTTTATTTATTATTATAAGCAATAGCATTTTTTTTCATGCCCTTAATTGTTCTCCAGAACCTGGCTTTTTAAAAATGAATTCATACATAATATCACTACACAGATGTACCATAACTCATTTATTTAATTCCTTTTTAAAAAAATATTTTATTGATTTTAGAGAAGAAGGGAAAGGGAGAGGAGATACAAGCATCAGTGATGAGAGAGATTCATCACTAGGCTGCCTCCTTGCGCGCTGCCTGCTGGGGCTCAAGCCTGCAACTCGGGTGTGTGCCCTGACTGGGGATTGAGCCATAACCTCCTGACTCATAGGTGGATGCTAAACCACATAGGCTGGGCCTATTCTATTCCTTTCTAAAGGATAATGTGTTTCCAGTTTAAAACAGTGCTAGAGTGAACATCTTTGGACACCTATGTTACAATTTTATTTATTTTTATTTTTAAATATATTTTATTGATTTTTTTTACAGAGAGGAAGGGAGAGGGATAGAGAGTCAGAAACATCGATAAGAGAGAAACATTGATCAGCTGCCTCCTGCACAACCCCCACTGGGGATATGCCTGCAACCAAGGTACATGCCCTTGACCGGAATCGAACCTGGGATCCTTGAGTCCGCAGGCTCACGCTCTATCCACTGAGCCAAACCGGTCAGGGCATAATTTTATTTTTTAAATTTTTAAAAAATTAATTGACTTGAGAGAGAGGGAGAGACATCAACTTACTGTCCACTTATTTATGCATTCATTGGTTGATTCTTGGATGTGCCCTGACCTTGGCATATTGAGATGATGCTCTAACCAACTGAGCTACCTGGCCAGTGCCTAGGAGCCTGGGCACCTATTTTTTTAAAAAACTTCCCTGGTTATTTCAATTGGATATATTCTTTTTTGTTGTTAATCCTTACCTCAGCATGTTTTTTCCATTGATTTTTATTTTTTATTTTTTGAGAGTGGGAAGGAGAGAGAGAGAAACATTGATGTGAGAAACATCAATTGGTTGCCTCCCATATGCACCCCAACTAGGTTCATGCTCTTGACTGGTACTCAAATCCACCACCCTTGGGTGTGTGAGCTGATACTCTAACAACTGAGAATACTGGCTAGGGCTCAATTGGATATATTCTTTTTTAAAAAAAATTTTTTTATTTGTGTGTGTTTTTATTTATTTTAAATTTCATTGCATTTATTTTTTTATTTTTATTTATTATTTTTTAAATCTTCATTTTTCAAAGTATTGCATATGTCCCCCTTTTCCCCCCAATTACCCCCTACAGCCCGCCACTGCCCCTCTTCCCCTGCCCCAGGCTGTATATACCTACCAGGTCTTTGGTTGATGACCTCCCATCCACCCACCCTCCCATCTTTCCTCTGAGATTCCACACTCTGTTCTATGCTTCCATGTCTCTGGATCCTCTCTGTTCATCAGTTTATTTTGTTAATTAGATTCCACATGTGAGTGAGATCATGTGGTACTTGTCTTTCTCTGACTGACTTAGCATAATATTCTCCAGGTCCCTCCATGCTGGATATATTCTTAAAAGTAGAAATGCTGGCCCTAGCTGGTTTGGCTCAATGGGTCCTGGTCAAGGGCACATACCTTGGTTGCAGGCTCCTCCCCAGCCCAGGCCCTGGTTGGTCTCATGTAGGAGGCATCCAATCCATGTGTCTCTTTCACATCAATGTTTCTCTCTGTCTTTCTGTCTCCCTCTCTCCCTAAAAATCAATGGAAAAATATCCTTGGGTGAGGATTGATAAATAAATAAATAAATGAATGAATGAATAAATAAATGTAGAAACCTGGGTGTAGATATTTAAACATTTTTAATCTGCATTGCCAAAGCTCACTTCTAGAAAGGTTGCCTTAACTCCATATCAACCACAATCCCTTATAGGTATTCTCATTCTTTTGAATCTTTGGCAGTTTCATTATTAAATACTAGTTTGTACTATCTGAGTATTTGTTAATGCAAGTAGCTATACCTCCCTCTCTCTTTTTGTTTTCCTATGGTTAGTCTCATGTTTTTGTTTTTCCTCCAAATGAGATGTAGAATCATTTCCTAGGGATATTAAAACATTCCTTTTAGGATTTCTGTTGGAATGCCATTAAACCTGTTAATTGGAAGAGATTTGCTATCTGTATAATTTTTCCAAGTTAAATATGGGGGGCGGGGGTGTAGTCATATATAAGAGACCAGAAGAAAACAGGTCCTGATGTTAGCAGTGCTTATTTCTGGGTAGAATTGGGATGTTTATTTTATTTTTTCCATCTAAGGGTGTTTTTTAAAAAAACGCTCTTTGATATCCTGTATTTTCCATGTTCATACATTATTTTAATCATAATCATATCTCCCTTTTAAAAAGTTCTTATTTTTAAAAAACACCTGGTAATGTGCTTAGGTCGGTTGGATGGTCATAGGCATCCAACTAGAAGCCATAGGACTTGGCTTTCGGCAGTGCCGAGGCTAATTCCAGAGCTGCTCTCACTGGAGGAGCACCAGTATTCAGTGGGAATGTGCACGTCTCCTCCAGGCTTGGCTGTCTGGATATTACAGCAGCACTAACATTTCTCGGTCGGGCCCTTCTCTACCAGGCAGCCTGCCTCCGATCATTGTGTACGACCGGAACGGATTCCGAATTCTGCTCCACTTTTCCCAGACGGGGGCCCCTGGCCACCCTGAGGTGCAGGTGCTCCTGTTGACCATGATGAGCACTGCCACCCAGCCTGTCTGGGACATCATGTTTCAGGTGGCCGTGCCGAAGGTGAGCCATTCACTGGGCAGATCCTTTGAATTTATCATTTCTGAGCACCAGATCCATTACCTGTCAGTTGGGTGGAAGGATAGAATCTTCACTCAGAGTAGTTGAAGGTACCCGGCCAGCGTGGCTCGGTGGTTGAGCATTGACCTAGGAACCAGGAGGTCACGGTTCAATTCCTGGTCAGGGCACATGCCCAGGTTGCAGGCTCAATCCCCAGTGTTGGGTGTGCAGGAGGCAGCTGATCAGTGATTCTCTCATCATTGAAATCAATAAAAATATATTTTTTTAAAAAAGTAGTTGAAGGTAAAATGGGGGCTTTATTGGCTCATTCTACTGGTGATTCCTGATGTCTGGGTGCAGGTAGGTGCTTAGAGGATTCCTTAAGAACCTGCCTCTTCCCTGTCCTGACTGCTTTCCTCTTTGGAGCCTGTTCTCAGACAGACTCCCCATGAAGCAGGAGAATGGTGCCAGCAGCTCCAGAATCACCTGGTCCTTATCTCCTGTATCTCAGAAAGACACTCTCCTATGCTGTGCACCTGACACTAACACAAAACAATATTGAATGTGAACTGTAATCGGAACATTTATTTATGTATGTATTTATTTATTTATTTATTTATTTATTTATTTATTTATTTATTTATTTATTTGGTCTGTCCTCACCAGAGGATATTTTTCCATTGATTTTTACAGAGAATGGAATGGAGGGGGCGGCGGGGGGAGGAAAGGAGAAAGAAAAACATCGATGTGAGAGACACATCGATAGGTTGCCTCCTGCAGAGGCCCCCACCAGAGCTGGGGATCGAGCCTGCAACCAAGGTACATGCCCTTGACTGGAATCAAACCCAGGAGCCTTCAGTCCACAGGTCGATGCTCTGTCCACTGAGTCAAACCAGCTAGAGCCCAAGATCCACTTTCTAATCCTCATGGTGATCATGTGGGGCACGTGTTATTGTTACTTCTGTTTTATAAATTATCATTCTAAGGTTAAATATTTACCCAAGGTGATAGAGCTAGTGAGAGCCGGAGTTGGAGTTCAACTCCAGATGTGCCCTGGCTCTGCATGTGCCTCTCAGAAGCCAAGGACTGACACACACGTCAGACACATTCTGTGTGTGGGAGGAACCGTCTTTTGAATCCTGTCATTAGTTGGTGGGGTGCAGGTCAGGCTCTCCTGTTCACCCGATCGCCTTATTAAAGCTGTCATTTACTAGAAATGAGTTGCATGTTGGCTCTCCCCCATCCTCATAGTCAATGAGAGTGAAACTGCAGCCGGCATCCAGCTCCCAGCTCCCAGCGTTCAGTCCTCTGATGCCTCCAGCCGTGATCTCTCAGATGCTGCTGCTTGACAATCCACACAAAGTATGCTCCGGTGTCCTTAACAGCAGGGAGGTGGGCCCTGAACAGTAGGGTGGCAGCGTGGTGGGTGGAGAGAGGCCTCTGGGTGGTGGGCAGTGGTGGCGGGCTGTCCCTGCTAGAGTGTGTTTTCCTTTGGGGCTTACTGAAAGAAGCCCCGTGACCAGATTGTCATGGCTGGGAACCGAGGGAGTGACAAACTCTCCTATTACAGGGAGTCCTCTGAAAGGGTGAGACCTGTCTGTCGTCCTCAGCTGGTCTCTCAGCAGTGGTTCAGCTCAGGAATGCACAAGTGTGGGACGAAGGACTTGAATCCCAGGCTGTGGACCTGGCTCCCCTCGTTTGTAGTCCCCAGGGGTCTAGGCCAGGGTGTTGCTGTCACGGTGTGAAGCCTCACGTGGCCGAGTTAACAGGCATGCCCTGTTGCTTGGTGACTACTGCATGGGAAAGGCTTTTACTTCGTGCTGTTCTCTCTGCTGCTCCTCACTCATTTATCTTCTATCTTTGCCCAGGAGCCAATCCGGTTACGGTATAAGCTGACATTCAACCAGGGCGGACAGCCTTTCAGCGAAGTTGGAGAAGTGAAAGACTTTCCAGACCTGGCAGTCTTGGGTGCAGCCTAACTTTTCTCAAGACACACCCTGCCATTCAAGTGTAGGCAGTGTTCCTCGTGCTGTCTGGATGGGACTGATCACAGTGACTGAGTGCAGAGTGCCAGGAGTGCTGCCCTGATGCAGGCTCCACATGCCAGTTTCTGGCTTGTTTTGTAGTGTGTGTGTGTGTGGGTATGTGTGGATTTTTGTTACATTCACACCTGCTACGAGCATATCTGTTTCTGTGTTTGGACACTGATCTCCCAGCCTCAGGTGGGATGTTTTATAGCCAAAGCTATTGTTCTCATGAATTACCTTTTCACTCATCCACTCTGTGCCTTGTCAGCCTTTGAAAGTCTTGTTGCTCCCAGGTTGCTGCTCTCTGGGACTTTAAAAGGGACCTAGTGGGTCTTGGGGCAGAGAGTGTCTTCTGGGGCACTCTTTCAAGAGAGACCTGCCTCCATTTCCACTAGAGAATGCTGCTGGCACGTGTTCCGGAAGATCTTCTAAATGGAATGCTTGTCACATTGTTTTCCAGGCAAGAGGCTGCACTGACCAGAGGACCACACTGGTGGGCCAATCATGTTCTTCACCATTGTGCCTTAGAATCACCCACAGCTGGGCCTCACGGCAGAGGGGAACGCAGAACCCAGGCCTTATTCCGGCCGTAGGTTCCATGGGTTGTGCAGCCTGTCGGCCCTTACTCAGGACCCTCATCTCCATCCTCTGTCTTCACAGGCGTGTACTCAGAACCCTGTGTGACACAGTGCCAGTCATTGTCAGTTGTAGCTAGCAGGCTCCCCTCGTCTGTTGCCTTCACAACCCAAGATGAACTGTGAGCAAATAGATATGAAAAGAGCTTAGCAGTGATTTAAGTGGTGACTAAATACAGAAAGTCATTGAATAAATACCTGTGTAGCAAATATACTTTGTGGAGTTTTGAGTAAGTAGGAGGTGCAAAGCCCATTGCATTCAGAGAAGATCGGCCCAAAGGGAACTGGCCTCTATTGAGGACGGAAGGAAGACTTCATGAGGGATCAGGACCTCAGTCGTTCAGTGAAGACACAAGCCCCTGGGTCTGAACTGTGCTGGAAAGAGATGTGGATTTTTGTTACAGTCACAGTTCAAAGGAAAATCCAGGTGTACAATGAATACTGAGCACCCACTCTGTGCTTGATTTACAAGTCCTGCGTGGTCTGGTTGGTGGGTGAAGAAAGCTGACCCGGCTGATGGCCTGAAGAAGGACTGAAGTCCCAGCAGCTCACCGGTGTGGGCAGGATTCTACCTCAGAAACTGCAAGGCTCTGTTTGGGGCTTTTTATCACAAAATGCGGCACTCCACAGCCTGATCTTTCACCGTCTACATCTAGTTGGAAATCTGCCAACACTGATTGGTGGGGAAAAGTGCTATAAAAGATCAAGGCATGCTAATTTTTAAACATATGAGAAAACTCATAAAACATAAATGATTGGGTGATTTCTTTATTTGGCATAATGCACATAAGGTTCATTTTAATCTAACGTTACTTCATGCTCACATGCTCGGTATAGCTTTTATAGACTCTAGCTATTTCACAGTTTATAGTGATAATGTCAGCCTAGGAAGAACTGCCACCAAAATGTGTGAATGAGACTTACATCGTTCTGAGTTGAACTTGTGTGTCTGACCTTCTCTGTCTTCTGCAGTGGTGATCTGCTTAGGTGGTGGTGGACAGAATAAGGGGTGGGGGGTGTTGGCGGTCCTGACTATGGCCCTGATTTATGTTATCAGTGCCTTCTAGTTAACCAAGTTTAGTGACCACTTAAAGCTCAATCCTTATCCTCTTATTCACTCAAGTATTTGACCAGCTACTATGAGGCAGACACTGTTGTAGGCCCTGCAGATACGGCAGCATCAGAGTCCCTACCCTTCTGCATCTTCTGTTCTAGTGGGGGGAGAAAAGCCCATATTCCCTGGTGGAGGGGCCAGTACTTTCCCTGTCCTGAACTCCGGGATCCTGCTCACTCCAGTTGTTGACCTACCTCTGACTGTTCTATTCTGTCCCTGAAGTGGTGTTTCCCCAGGGTTCAGTCCTCAGTTCTTTTCTAAGCACTGTGGGCAGTTCACCTCTAGAGGGTCCTAGACCTCTGTCTCAAACTTCCACCTTCTTGCTGACATCAGACCCATGTTTCAAGCCAGCAGTGGATCTCTCTACCTGGAGGTTCCACTATTGCCTCAAACTCCAAATGTTTTGAATGGAATCCAACCTCCTCCCTGTTTCCACCTATATTTTCTTTTTACTATTTGTTTTTAAATCCTTACTGGAAGATATTTTTCCATTGTTTTTAGATAGAGTGAAAGGGGCGGGGGCGAGAGAAACATCAGTGTGAGAGAGACACATCAGTTGGTTGCCTCTCCCACGCACCCCAAATGGGACTGGGGAATGAACCTGCAACCCATGTATGAGCCCTTGACCAGGAATGGAACTGTGACCCTTGGTGAGTGGGCTGACGCTAACCACTGAGACCCACTGGCCAGGACTAAATTTTCTATTTGAAAGCACCTATCTGAGCCTCATGGACCCTTCATTCCTGCTCCATCCATTCCACTTGGTACCCTTGTCTCGAGTCTTTATTTCTAAATACCACCACATCTTGCTCTCCCTGCATCACACTAGTTGCCTGCCTCTCACTTCTCTGAGCCATGGTACTTGCTACCACCAGAATTTTCTAACAAATCTGGGTACTTGATCCCTTTCTGGAAAATTCCGAGTGGTTCTTAATGCCTGAAAAGCCTATGCAATCAAATTCAAGTTGCTTACACTAGCATTCAGTGCCCCCCGCCACTGTGTGCCCTGCTCACTGGCATCTGCCAAAAACAGAACAGACTTCCCACAGCCACAGGTAGTTTGTCAGGTTTTGATGTTTTCTCCTGTCTCTCTGGCCCCTGCAGATAGCTCCTCCCCTCATCTCTTCAATGAGTGGAAAATGCCGCTTTACCTGCGTCACTGAGCATCAGGGCTATGGAGATCGTAGGTGGTGAAAGGATAAAAGACTTAAGAACCAAAAGAACATGAGTATTACCATTAAAAAGAATGTAGAGCGAGAATATACAAGGGAGAAAGCGATATTCTAAAATGCACAGTGCTGGACTACTACAGTGTTTACGAGTTACACATTCTTTCAGTACATTCCACTATAGAAGACACCAGCCCCAAACCATAAAAATCTGTCAACTAGGTTAACTAAGAAAATAGTAGCAATGTGCCCTGGAATACTAGCTATGGTTTTTTGTTGTTTTTAAAGGTGCGGTTTGACACTCCCATCTGGAAAGAGTTGGAGCCAAACAAGGACAAAGCAGGGAGTGTCCTCAGATAAGATTATACAGTTAAGGCACACTTATTTTTTTTAAATTTTATTTATTTTTTAATCCTCACCCAAGAATATTTTTCCATTGATTTTTAGAGTGAGGAGAGAGGGGAAGACAGAAACTTCAATGTGAAGGAAACACTTTGATTGGTTGCCTCCGCAGAAGCCCTAACCAGCCTGGGCCGGGGAGGAGCCTCTAACTGAGGTATGTGCCCTTGACCAGAATCGAACCCGGATCTATCCTCTGAGCCAAGCCAGCTAGGGCAAGGCACACTCAATGTCACCCAGAATGAAGTTAACTCAGCCTTTTGTACCCTCGTCCAATGCAATCCCAAGTCTACCATGTTCACTCAAAGAAAACTTGCACTTAAAAAGTAGTTTTCAGAGGTAGTTTTTAAAGCTGAAGAAACACTTCGGTGCATCTGCTTTTAAAGACAGGCCTTGTTCCCGCTTCGGCAGCACATATACCAAAATTGGAACGATACAGAGAAGGTTAGCGTGGCCCCTGCGCAAGGATGACATGCAAATTCATGAAGTGTTCCATATTTAAAAAAAAAAAAGCTGGAGGTCGAAAGCCCTAACAGTTTGAAATAATGAAATCAAACCTTAGTTGTAATTCTGTTTACCGTCACTACTGCCTCTAAGTGACCATGTGACATAGGGAAAATAGCTTATCCTTTTCAGAGTCCTCCCCTGTAAAGTGGATAGTAGGATTGTTTATATTTTGAAAATTAAATGAGTTAATATATGTAAAGTGACTATAACACCACATGGCACCTAGCGATTTGCTCTTAGCCTGTCCAACTGGCTTCCAGTAGAGGAGCAGACTTGCCTTGCCCATAGTTATTTAAAGTTCACCTTATAAAAGTTTGGTGAGGTGCAAATTAATACTGAGACACAGTAAATGCCAAAGGTATAGTGTAAATGTATAAAATTGTATTTATATAACAAAGTTAAATCATTTTAAGAGCATTAAAATGAATATAACACTGGAAGAAATTTAGCAAAGATACAAGACATTTACAACGTGCAACTACAAGATATTGCTGAGAGAAAGAAAATCTAAACTAGAGGTCCTTGGGGAACTGCTCGCTAGGGACACTCGGCAATGTGTGGAGACATCTTTGATTGTCACAGTTTAGGAGAGGGTTAGGCCAGGGATGTGGCTAAACATCGTAAAATGCATAGGACAGCCCCCACAACAAAGAATTATCTGGCCCCAGATGTCAATAGCACCAAGGTTGAAAATCCTGATCTTAATAAGTGGAGAGGCATCACGGACTGGAAGACAATATTGTCAAGATGACGATTTGCAAAGCGATATATAGATTCAATATAATCCCTATTCCAGCAGCAGTTTTTGTAGAAATTGATAAGCTGGTCACACGATGTATGTGGAAATTCAAAGGGTTTCAAGTAGCAAAATAATTTTTTAAAAAAAGTGGGAGGCCCTAGCCAGTTTGGCTCAGTGGATAGAGCATCGGCCTGCAGACTGAAGGGTCCCAGGTTCCATTCCGGCCAAGGGCACATAGCTGGGTTGCAGGCTCAATCCCCAGTAGGGGGCGTGCAGGAGGCAGCCGATCAATGATTCTCTCTCTTCATTGATGTTTCTATCTCTCCCTCTTCCTTCCTCTCTGAAATCAATAAAGAAATATATATATTTTTTAATTTAAATATATTTTATTGATTTTTTACAGAGAGGAAGGGAGAGAGATAGTTAGAAACATCGATGAGAGAGAAACATCGATCAGCTGCCTCCTGCACATCTCCCACTGGGGATATGCCCGCAACCCAGGTACATGCCCTTGACCGGAATCGAACCTGGGACCTTTCAGTCTGCAGGCCGACGCTCTATCCACTGAGCCAAACCGGTTTCGGCAATAAAGAAATATATTAAAAAAAAAAAAAAATAAAGTGGGAGGACTTACACTACCGGATTTCAAAAATTACTATAGATGACAATAATCAAAATAGCTTAGTAGTATTATAGGGACAGATAATAGAACAGAAATGAGTCCAGAAACCCTAACATTTGTTATTTGATTTTTGATAAAAATCTTAAATGCATTTTAGTGGAGAAAGGAAAGTGTTTTCAACAAAGGGTCCCAGGTTAATTGTATGTCTGCATGCACACACATAAATGAACTCAGACCTTTCCCTCACACCATACACACAAAAAAAATGAACTCAATCCAGACCACAGACCTAAATGTAAAAGCTAAAACTTTAAGACTTCTAGAAGAAAATTTAGGAGAAATTCTTGATTTTGAGTTAGGTAAATATTTTTTTCTGCTTCTTAAATATCATTTTTAAAAAGTTACGTGTCATAACTGAGGATCAAACCCACAACCTTGGCATATCAGGATGCCGCTCTAACCAACTGAGCTACCCAGCCAGAGTGAATATCTGTTTTTAAGTAAGTTTTTATTTTTTAAAGTTCCAGTTGACATACAATACTATTTTCAGGTATACAACATGATTAGACATTTATATAACTTACACCCTGAAAAATCTAGTACCCATCTGACATCATGCAGTTACTACAATATTATTGACTATATTCCCTATGCTTTACATGCCCATGACTATTTTGTAATTACCCATTTGTACTTCACCTTTTTCACCCATCTCCCCACCTCCCCTTAGATACAACAACAAATAGTATGACCCATATAAGGAAAAAAGTGATAATGGACCTTATCAAAATAAACTTGCATCTCAAAAGACACCATTAAAAAGGTGAAAAGAGGCCCTGGCCCAGTAGCTCAGTTGGTTAGAGAATCATCCGGATATGCCATGGTTACTGATTTGATCCCTAGTCAGAGCACTTACAAGAAGCAACCAATGGCCCTGGCCAGTGTGGCTCAGGTGGGCATCGTCCAAGCAACAGAAAGGTTGTCGGTTTGATTCCTGGCCAGGGCACATGTCTGGTAGGGGACCTGCAAAAGGCAACTGATTGATGTTATGCTCTCACATGGATGTTTCTTTCTCTCAAAGATCAATAAAAATTATTTTTAAAAAGGAACCAATGAATGCAAAAATAAGTGGAACAACAAATCGATGTTTCTCTTTCCCTCTCAAATAAACCAATAAATACCCAAAAAAAGTGGCCCT